TGCAGACCAATCAGAACGGTTCACTGTGACTGTATGAGTATATTCAGTTTGAATTTCTGTAAAATATCTGCTATGCTTTTTTAATGAACTTCCAATCGCTTTGTACGTTCTTGCTCCACTCCCGCTTGCTATACAACTTTGTCGCTTGAAATATAGTATTATACACCTAATATAGAACTTGGGGGTTTTTTTATTAAAAGTGGTGATGACTGATGCAGTCACGGCCCGATGGGGCGATGGGTGATCACTGATCAGTGCAATCGCATCAAAATAAATAATAAACAGACCTCAGTCGGGCTCTGTATGTATACAAAATGTTAATATATGTATTTCTCTTAAAATTAGTATTTTATGTGTGCTGTTCGCGCGCGCATACATAATTAGCATACAAAATTAAAAATTATAGACATTCAACAGTGCAAATAGACTATATAACCAATAGACCCGTGTTGAATTCCATCACCTTCGCAACCATGATTTCAGTACAGGAAGTAAACCCCTACACATACGAGCTGGTGCAGGAAATAGCTGCCAACTTGCTGGACAAATGTAAGGCAGTAGGTGCGCCATCGGTCCTTATTATCTGTGGGTCTGGACTGCAGCACCTCTCCAAGTCCCTGACAGACCAGGTATCTGTCGACTACAAAGATGTGCCTCACTTCCCTGTAAGCACAGGTATGTACACACCTACATTACAATACAAACCTTTTCCGCAAGCGTTTATCGATCATATCTGGATATAACCAATATACCTCACTTACTGTAAGCCTATGTATGTTCACACCTGTGTTGCTACACAAGCCTTTGTTCTGAAAGCATAATTTTCTCATGTCTATGACTAAAGCGTTTTTCAAATATACATTCGTGTAAGGGGAAGTACTTGAACTCGTATTCACTTCAATTTATCGCGAAATCACAGTCTGCACTTGCCATATCTCACCTGTGTTCAGCTTAAGCCGAACTATCTCGTTCAAACTATTCCGCTTCTGGCACTAACTCTTTTTTTACTTATATTATAAATTGTAGTTGAGGGGCATGCTGGCGAAGTGGTTTTTGGTAAAATCGGTTCAACCAACGTGATGTGCATGCGAGGCCGATTCCATTCGTACGAGGGTTACAGCCAGTTTGCGGTAAGTTGATTAATATTAATCCCGTGACCACTTCAAAAACGTCCGCTTTGAGCACCTACTCTACATTTCAGTCTTTATATATTGACCTCATTATCATGGTGGCGTCAATACACTCTTCATCACTTCCTGAGCACTCTTCATCACTTCCTGAGTACCCTAAACTTCCAGTACATCCACAAATCAATATATCCGCATAGGTGACTCTACCAGTGCGAGTGGCCAAACTCATGGGGTGCGAGACGCTCGTGGTAACCAATGCAGCAGGTGGTCTTAATCCAAAGTTTCAAGTGGGTGATATTATGCTCATCGAGGATCACATAAATTGGGTGGGTAATGCGGGCATGAACCCTCTGAGAGGTCCAAACGACCCAAGATGGGGTCCTCGCTTCCCTGCCACTGGCCAGTGCTACACCCCTGAGCACATCACTGCCATGGAGGAGATTGCGCAAGAGCTTGGCATCGGACAGGTATGGCAGGCTTGGATTTTATGTACATGTGTGCTTAAGTCTATATATGTATGTGTATGTATTATGATTGAGTACACGCTCAAATATACAAATCGATTGGTGCATCCCTTATGTATTTTGCGTTGTGTGTTGGCAGCTTGAAAAAATATTTCTGCCATGCCGGAATATTAGATGATATTAATTTTCTATTCGAAGCAAGAATGATTGCATTTTAAAACAAGTTGAGACATATTTGTCCCCAGTACAGAGATTGACCCCTTTACTGCAACACAACTTGTGTTTACCAGGTTATCCGCAAGGGGACGTACCTGTACACCAGCGGTCCCTGTTACGAGACCCCAGCTGAGGCCCGATTGTTCGCAACCTTTGCCGATGCCGTTGGTATGTCAACCGCCCCAGAGGCTGTAGTTGCGCATCACTGTGGTATGAAGACTGTTGGTTTGACCCTGGTCACCAACTGTGTGATTACTCGCCGCGATAGTGCTGAAATCCCCACACACGAAGAGGTGCTGGGAGCCGCTGACAAGACTGCCCAGGACATGCAGGATTTGGTGTCGAAGTTCGTAGCAAGGCAATAAAGAAATGATGACTGCTTTCTGTGTTGATGTACCTCTAAGTAATAATATACTCTATAGTATGCCGCCAATGTGTACTGTGTCATATATGCTGAACCTGTAGCAATTTAGCTCTGTCAAATGGATAATATTTGGTAATTATGGGATGTGTAGTGGTATGTTTGGTATCAGTATGGCGATTACTCAGAATGAACATGTTTACACTTGAGCATATGCATCAGTATAGGGACGTGAACTCTGATATGTACATTTGCATGTGCAAACACTTGAGCGTAGCAAAGTATATGGTACAAGACTATACCCAGAGTCGGAGCTATATAATAAGACAGCTCGATGAAACAATTTTGAGGTTCATGCCAATCGGACAATATAGTAGGGGGGCAAATGGATTGTAAATCCTCACGAGTGTTCCTGGGCACAAGCAAACCAGGCAATCCTACGCGCATGATTGTATATATGGTTCTTGGGCACACACCAACTAAGAAAAATAGCGCGAATTTATCATCGGACATTCATACAAGTAAAACAAAGTCTTTATTACAAATATTTGTCTCATAGCTGTCTCATAGCTATCATTTCAGTAACATTGGTAAAGATACACTGTGTGGCTACCGCTGAGTGATATATATGTTATGATTTGCAAGGGTGGGCTACTTATGTTCATCAGGTCGTCGCTTCGCAACATCACTTTTCTGATTTGTAGAATGATATAACAGCATCGGTGAACCTTGTTTGGTCTTGCCACATATTGGCGGCGGTGATATTCAGTGGACTGTTGTTGTTGGGCTCTGTAACGAGGAAAAATCAATGACCAGTGAATTTGAGTGCAAAGGTTAGTTTCGATGGGCGATAATTTAAAGTTTAGTCATCACAACAGTATAAATCACAATGTATGCTCGCACGGTTGATTACTCAGACATCCCTACACCACAACATCCGAAGCGATACAGGGCAAACAGATTGCAAGGACATATCGAATAAACCTACCATTTAGAAGACTTTGAATTGATAGCAGTATCGTCCGCACATCGTATAAAGCACTCCAGTTCTCCTGTTGGTGCCATTGGGTGAATAGTGTGTAACAATATTTTTTTTAGAAGAGCCCAAAATTTTACTGAATTGAATCGAAAGCGAATTCATAGGCGCACTCCATGCACGCCAGTTTCGCATGTAGATACTATGCGCTCACCTTGAGTATATCCAAGCAAATTTCCCCGTTGTCGCTCACATTAGGGTGGAAACATTTCGATGTGAAAGTCACGCGCGGTGCGGAGTATGGGTAGTCTGTTGGGAATTGTATAGATAGTTTGTAGCTCAACCCTTCGTACGGGGTTCCTTCGGGCCCGGCGATAGTAGCCACCCACTGCATAATGTTGTCACTGGCTGGGAAGGCCGAGAGTTGTTTCTTCTCGTCACACTTCTAGAGGGGAAAGGCGAGAGGTGCATAAGTTTCGGAGGTCACGCGGCCTACACGTTCTGCACGTTGTATATATTGATATGCACACCTCTCTGAGTGACCAAAATTACACGCAAAGGACACGACATGACAAAGTTATTTCCATATGCGCTAATAGAACTGTACTATATAGGTGCATCAGATACTTGCTGAGTATAGCTTGAAGGCCAACGTGCCTCAGAGATCTATCACGAAATCAAGAAATCACAAGAAAATAGAAAAGGAAAAACTTACCATTAACTGCATGAGCTCTTTCTGCAGCCTGGATCTCCGACAAAGGTAGGACGGAAACGAACGAAATGGAAACGAACGAAATTGTTTAGTGAATTTCATGAGAAAATTTCATGAAAAAGCACCTAGATAAAAGCTAATTCTCTGATGTGCAATCATTTATGCAGAATTCAGAATATATATATATATATATATATATTATGTATATATATATATGTATGTATATATATATATATA